ATGGAGTTTTCTTGGCTGCCTCTAACAAATTTGGTTTTATTTGTTGTTTTTCTTTCTTTTTTTTTTTTTTAAAGGATTTTGGCTGTCTGCTTTTTTTCATGTCTCGATCTGCAATAACTATATGGATATGTGCTTGTACTTGCTAAATATTTTAATTTTGCATATTTTACTGCTTGAATTTTAAGTAATTTCTTTGGGCAATGCAAATTAAGAGCTTGAGGCTACAAGTGAAATATCAATTAGCAGAAGTTTTTAATTAGTTTATAAATGTATGTTCCTTATCTACTAAATATTTTAACATTTCATATATTACTAAAATTGAATAAAATTTAAAATTTAGTTCCTCAGTCACACTGGCCATATATCAAGTGCTCCTTTTGGGCTCTGTGTGTCCTGTACCACCATTTTGGACAGCGCAGAGGGGGACTGTGTCCTCACAGAGGTCTGCTGGACAGCGCTGTTTCCCGTCCAGTGGGAGGAGGTCGGCAGTAATGTGGACGCTCATTTCTGATACCAGTTTTTACAAGTTTAATAACTCCAGTCTTGAGCTGTTTTCTCTAAATATGATGGTAGCCATCTCCTTCTTAAGTATTTCAAACTGAAAGTTGCCTTAAACAGTTCATCTGCTTCAGTAATTATGTTATTTTAAGGTGAAATTGTTTCTTGTAGCAAAATTCATGAAGTAGTGAAAAGGCCAAGTTACTTAGCCTAAATTTGAATTCTGACCTTAGGACTCACTAGTTTAGTAACTTCTGGTAAGTTACTTAACTTCTTTGAGCCTCAGTTTGCTTACCTGTAAAATGGAGGTAACATTATTTACCTCATAAAATTTAAAAAATGAAAAGGCTTAAATACGTCTAAAAGCATGTAACAAAGTGGGCACATATAGTACTTTTAAATACAGAATGAAGCCAAAACATTTCAATTAATTAGGCAATGTCATTTAATTGGAGCTGTTCCCAGCCTGACAATTATAATAGGTCTCTAGAAATGGCTAGATCCGGAGTATTCTGTAGAAGTTTCTGGTGGCCGAGGGATTGTTTATGACATTGTGTAAAGTTAAAACTAGAATACCAGAATGGGGAGGAAAAGAAATAGAAAAAAGATCAACTTTGTTTTTGGAGAAGTCCATAAAGTACTTTCTGATAATAATGAAAATAAAAACTAATACTTTGTAGTTTTGTAACTAAATTTTTTACATAATTCTTTAAAATTTTATATCCATAATATTTGAGTGCCTTTATTAAAGAAGAATAAAAGGAAACTTAAGGTTTCCTTCTGGGATTGCCTAGCCAACCATTAATGAGAATGGAAATTCATATTACGTTTTCAACTTTAAATCTTATGCTCTTTCTACTTCAGTAGCTGTGTTTCTCAGGCAGATGCATGTATATTTCAGAATCTCTAGGGATGGGCCCAGGTATATGAATTTTTTTCCTACGTTGAAACAGAATATATACCCAAGTGATTCTGGTGCCCACCTCTGGTTAAAAAATATTGTTCTTTTCCAGGTTTAATTTTTCTTTTCCTGTTTCAGTACATCTAAATTAATGCATAGACCATGTGAATAAAACAAAGAATGAGACTTATAAGTGATACATTGATTGAACTTTTATTGTTCCAGATATTTAGGTAGATCATCAACAATACTTCTAAAAAAGCAAGGCAGTTTAGTTTCCTGTTCACAATCTTTTTTTTTTTTTTTATTCCTTGCCTGAGGATATTTTTCCATTTGTCATTAGATAGAGTGGAAAGGAGGGAGAGACAGAGAGAAACATCAATGTGCCTGTTCACAATTTTGAGTGTTTTCTCCATTTGATCAGTGCTGGTGGTGACGGAGAATCCAGACTATCCAACTACGGAAGTTAAATTTATCAATGTTCCCCTTCCTGCTTCCCTAAGATCAATTTTGGCTAGTTAGTAGTCTGCTTTCATTGTATCCAGGTCCTAAAGCATTGACTCCTTATCACCTGTAGGTAATATCTTAATGAATGTGTTCAATTGCTTGGCTAAAGATTTTTAATAATCTTTCCTCAGCTGTCTTGAAGATGTTGCAGTGTCCTGGATTTAGTGGTATTTCCAGGCCTTTCTTAACTCTGAATGTATCACATTACCAAGCTCAAAGCAGAATGAAAAGACAGTGTCATGATGGGGTGAGAGAGGTGAATACTTTAGCAAACCCGCAGGTCGGCCGCAGTTCATCACTTTGCATAGTGAATTTTCAAAGATGAAAAATTTTTCAAAACTACAAAGACAGATTCTATTGGAAATAAGACTTTCAGATTTGAAAATTAAGCATTTGCTATGTGAGGCAGTAAGTGAGGTTTTGCTGTGAGACTGAACTGTCTTTTAACTTTCAGAGATGCTTATCAAAATGCAGTTGAGCAGGGGCAATAATATGTTAACAGTGGCTGTTAATTTCTGAGCAAAAGATCTTTTCACTAGAAACTATTTACAGTGAATATTGGGCTATTTGTGTGTTGAAATTAATGTGTTTGGGATGTTCTTGTATATAGGTGTACCTTTCTTAACATAGGAAATACAGTTCTGATTATTTTTTAGTACTAAGATTTAGAGAGCTTATCATTCTGTTAATTATATGCAGTTTAGATTTATCTTTGTTATACTGTAAATTTTCTTATAAACAAGATAAAACCAAGGCTTTTTAAGATATTAAAGTTTTCACCCTAGCCGGTTTGGCTCAGCGGTTAGAGTGTCGGCCTGTGGACCCAGAGAGTCCCGGGTTTGGTTCCCGCTAAGGGCATGTACCTCGGTTGCAGTTTGTCCCCACCCTGGTTGGGATCTTGTGGATGGCAACCAGTCGATGTGTCTCTCTCACATCGATGTTTCTCTCTTTCTCTTCCCCCCTCTCTCCCTCTCATTCTATCTGAAGATAAATGCAAAAATGTCCTCTGGTGAGGATAAAAAAAAAAAAAAAGATTTTAAAGTTCTCCCAAATCAAAGATTTTAAAAAACCTATGGCAATAAAAAAATGAGACTTGATAGTCATAGATCAACTTAAAAGTATTGTAAGACGGCTATTTTTCAGTGAAGCATGCATTCAGAAGCCTGTACTTAGTGGATTTCGACTTACTTTCATTTGGTGTTGAGAATCTGTTGCATAGACTTATATGGCAAAAATACTTTTTCTTTTTTAAAAACCTGTCCATCTCATTTTCTTAAATTATAATATTTGAGATTTATATGGTTCATTTAGACTTAAATCTAGATGTATTGTTAATGTATTCCAAATGTAGAAAATCTGATACCCCATTACATCGATTCTAAGACATACTTCTTCTTCATACTTTGAAAAATGAGATGCATCTTAAAATTGATTTGTATCATAGTTTAATGGAGGCATTTCTTCCTTACTTGGTGGTATATAAAACTAATAGGTAATCACTGGTGTCTTAGGCTTGATAAAAAGTGATGGTTGATTTTTTTTTTTTTTTTTTTTTATTGCAGTTTATGATGTGGTATATCTTTGTGGTAAAAAAAAAAAAAATCCAAGTGCTGAGAATATATTATGTTATTTGAAATTGTAGACTGTTAGTGTTTCCTTTAGATCCTTTCCTTTTTGTTCTCACTACCATCATCCTAGTATCAAATCTAAAACAATTTAGTAATGTGCTTGATGTTCTTTATTCACCGGAAAACAAGCCAGGAATTGGGGGTGCACATTGCCTACCTAACACTTCCTGAGGAATTTGTGGCAAGAGTGTGGTTTTTTTTTTTTATCCTCACCCGAGGACATTTTTGCATTTATTTTCAGATAGAGTAGGAGGGGGAGAGAGAAACATCGATGTGAAAGAGACACATCGACTGGTCGCCACATGCACAACCCCAACTTGGGCCGAGGACAAACTGGAACCGAAGTATGTGCCCTTAGTGGGAACCGAACCTGGGGTTCTCTGGTTCGCGGGCCAACCGTCTAACCACTGAACCAAACTGGCCAGGGCAAGAGCGAGTTTTATAGCATGCTAGAAAAAGCAACGAGAAAGGGCTTGATAGGCCAGGGGGTCGGCTGCAGGTTCTATTTTCTGGGCAAAGAAGAGCTGGCTAAAACCGAGCTGGAAGACCAGTTGGTGTTAGGTTTCCTTGGCAGGGAGGTGTTCCCCTTTGCACAGGCTAACTTAGGGTTGGATTTGTGACATGGCTGAGGCTATTAGGGTGGCCTCCACTTTATGGGTCCCCAAGTATCAGTTAACTTTATCCCTAGTTAGGTAGGTGCTTTACATTAAACTGGTTCCCTATATGTGGAAAGCTGTCCAGAATTAAAAAAAAAAAAAAGTGGAGATCCAGAGAAGGAGGTGAGACTTGGGCTTGGGTTAGGGGTCAGGTGGAGTTGGGGTCATGGGTGGGACCTGCAGGGTTAAGAAAAGAAAACTGGGGGAAGAATACTTGAGGGGTTTGTTAATATACAGCATTTTCCATTTACCCAGCTTGACTTGTCCAGAAATCCTTTTTGGGTTAAGTCTCTGGTGGTGACATACTAGCTTGTGAGCAACTCAGTAGTTAGCTAAAATCACCTCAACTGTATTTCCTGGATTCCAAAAGCGTAAATCCTTGCCAAGGCCTTTCCTTGTCTGTGGCAGTTGCCCTGGTACCCCTCTAGCCTACGGGTAAAGCATCTGCTGGTACATGTCTTTTATAGACCAAATGGAGTCTGTGTTTCCTCGTAATGTGCAGTCTCATAATGAATAACTTAAAGGGAAATGCTTATGGAATGTCTTTTTCTACAAGGAATTATTACAGTTATGTGCACAATTGAATTTGTTGGTTTGAATAGTACAAATACTTAATTTTTGGAAACTTTCTTACTTTCCTCTGTCTTTCAGCATTTAGGTAGAGATTGGTTTAGTCTTTCCCCTAATTTCAAATACAGGTGCTGAGTTTTATATATTTCTGACAAAATATGCCAGTCAGCACTCTTTTTCAATTAGTATTTATATCTTCTCTCTGTTTTATTGTCCTGAATTTATTTTCTCTTTCCTCAGAGGATGTCCTGAGTAAAGATGCTGGGGAATGTGCAATATGCCTGGAAGACTTGCAGCAGGGAGACACTATAGCACGACTGCCTTGTCTGTGCATCTACCATAAAGGGTAAGTTTCTTTCTCTGTGAACCAAGTTGATGTTAGAGTAGGTCTTCCTCAGAGTTTCAAACATTGTAGTTAGGGCTGAAAGATTTCTTTATTGGAAATCCCACCCCCCATCTCCTCTTTATTTCTTAAAAAAACAGCATTCTTTTTTTCCTGCTAGAACTAAGATTTTAGCCCATATCTGTTTGTATCCAAAAATCTGTCATCTGTTCAGCATTTACTGTGACCCAAGTATTGTTCATAGCTTCTTAAGTAGGTTATCTCATGTAAGCATTGTAACAGTCTCATTTCACAATGGGAAACAAGCTGAGGAACTATAGTAAAGAAATCTCTCCAGGTCACCTGGTTAGTAAGTGGAAGAGCTGAGGTTCCAGCCATGTCTAATTGACTCCTGAGCCCACCTGGCTTCTCCTGAAGTATTCTTGGTTTCAGAGCAACACAGGAAAATTTTTAAATTAAAAACAAAAAGTTTAAATAACCACAGAAAAAATAGAAAAGTCATTTTCAAAACAGTAAAAGGAGTAAGGTGGAACTTTGTTTAAAAGCAGGGGATAGGGCGGGGGAAGCCTAGAGAAAACACTAGTAAATAGTACAAAATAGAGAAAAGTAAATACAGTATCTGTAATTATATCTAAATAGAACAGACTCACCAGTTGAAAACAGATAGAAAGATTGGGATATGCTTTTGATAAGCAACATACTTAAACATGAGGATATAGAAAAAAATATGCAAGGCATAGAAAATTATCAAGGCAGCCCTGGCCGGTTTGGCTCAGCGGTTAGAGCGCCGGCCTGCGGTCCTGAGAGACCCGGGTTTGGTTCCCGCTAAGGGCATGTACCTCGGTTGCAGTTTGTCCCCGGCCCTGGTTGGTCGTGCGGGTGGCAGCCACTCGATGTGTCCCTTTCACGTCGATGTTTCTCTCTCTCTCTCTCTCTTCCTCTCTCTCCCTCCCGCTCTGTCTGAACAAAAAAATGGAAAAATGTCCTCTGGTAAGGATAAAAAAAAAAAAAGAAAAAGAAAATTATCAAGGCAAATTTTAGCTAAAACTAACAAAGCTAAATTAATACCAGACAACATAAACTTTGTAGCATAAAGTATTATTAGTGTGATACGATGATAAAAGAATATGAAATTTCAGTTTTTGTGTACCAGAACATAGTCTCAAAGTCAAATATTTATAGAACTGTCAGAAAAAATTACAAATTCATCATGATAATGGGAAATTTCAAGCAAACACACACAAACTGAGTCAAGACCTAGAAAAATTGATTATAGTTAACAGGTTTGATCTAATGGAGTGATATGTGTGTGTGTTTGTCTTTCTGTGTCTGTTCCCAATAACTAGAGAGTATATTTTCTTTTCAAACACACTTGAATTATTATAAAAATAGATTGTGTGCCATAAAGGAAGTCTTAGCAAGCTGTAGAGAATTGTAATCATACAGAAAGATGTTCTCTAACTACCATTATGAATCAATAATGAAAGATAATCTTTACACATTAACTTTTTTTTTTTTTTTTTATTCTTACCTGAGGACATTTTTCCATTTTTTGCACAGATAGAGTGGGAGGGAGAGAGAGGAAGAGAGAGGGAGAGAGAAACATCGATGTGAAAGAGACACATCGAGTGGCTGCCACCCGCAAGACCAACCAGGGCCGGGGACAAACTGCAACCGAGGTACATGCCCTTAGTGGGAACCGAACCCGGGTCTCTCCAGACCGCAGGCCGATGCTCTAACTGCTGAGCCAAACCAGCCAGGGCCACACATTAACTTCTAAGTTACTTATGAATCAAAGAAAAGTGTAACGGAACTTAGAAAATAGTTGGAACTGAATAATAACGAAAACCTTTTGGACATTTTTCTAGACTGGGAAGGTTTGTATTAGAGTAGAAAGAAAGATTGACAATCAGTAAGCCAAGTTCTTAAGAAGTTAGAAAAATCACAGCAGAATAAACATAATGAAAATGGAAGGAAAAAAATAAAGATCAGAGAAGAAAATAATGAAATAAAAATATTATATGCTAGAGCAGAGACTAACAATGTCAAAAGTTGGTTCTTCGGACAGACTAACGAAAGAAGAAAGCCTTTGGCAGGATTGTCTCCAGAAGTAAAAAATAAACAGTACAGGGATGAAAAGGGACATATAACTTCAGATATGGCAGAAATTAAGATTAATTGGAAAATTCTGTGAAAAAATTCTCTTTAAAAATTTAAACAAAATGGGCAATTTCCTTGAAAATATAGTACTACCAAAAATGAATCAAAAAGAACTTGAAAAACGTGAATCAACTAATAACTACTACAAGTAGTTATTAACACTAACCCTGAAAAACAAAAATATTAAAACAACAAAAGCCCAGAAACCTATAAAACAGGCCTACAAAGACAGTTTGATGGCAAGTTCTATTAGACATGCAAGGAACACCCGGTTAACAGTAATACAGTTCTCCCAAAGTAGGAAAAAAAATGGAAGGTTCTCCCACTTATTTTATGAGAATTATATAAACATGCCAAAATCAGACAAGGACAGTATAGGAAAGAAATTTAGAAGGCAGTCAGTTTCATTTATGAACACAAATGCAAAAATCCAAAAACCAAATTCTTCCATCTATACCTAACATAATGCCTCATGACCAAGTTGGATTTATGGTAGGATTGCAAAGGCACTGTAAGATTAGAAAATGTATATATGTGACTGATATTAACAAAGGAGAAAGACCATGTTAACTCAATAAATGTGAGAAAACTTTTGGTAAAATTATATACCTAGAGTATTAATGATTTTAAAACAAAGGCAAAGAATAAATATTAGATAAATTATTAAAATTAATATGCATTTTAACTGGTTGCCAGATATAAGATCAACTTATAAAAATTAGTTGCATTCATATCCCAATAAGAAAAAAATATATAACATTTTTTAAAGAATAAAGACATTAATAGCAACAGAAACTAAAACAGCAGTAAGGTGTATTAAGAATAAACCCTGCAGCCCTGGCCAGTTTGGCTCAGCGATTGGAGCATCAGCCTGTGGTCCAGAGAGACCTGGGTTCAGTTCCCACTAAGACCTTGGTTACGGTTTGTCCCTGGCTCCGGTGGGTTGTGCGGGAGGCAGCCACTCGGTGTGTCCCTTTCATGTCGATGTTTCTCTCTCTCTCTCTCCCCCCTCCCCTCCTCCTTCCCTTTCACTCTATCTTAACAAAAATGGAAAAATGTCCTTGGGTGAGGATTAAAAAAAAAAGAATAAACCCTGCAGTCTTGGCCGGTTTGGCTCAGCAGTTAGAGTGTTGGCCCACGGACCAATGAGTTGCAGGTTTGATTCCAGTCAAGGGCACGTACCTTGGTTGCCATTCTTCCCCAGCCCTGGTTGGGGTCAGGTGGGAGGCAGCCAATTGATGTGTGTCTCTCACATCAATGTTCCTCGCTCCCTCCCTCCCTCTCTATCTGAAGATAAATAGAAAAATATCCTCTGGTGAGGATTAAAAAAAAAAAAAAGAATAAACCCTACAGCCTGGCCAGTGTGGCTCAGTGAACTGAGCATCGACCCATGCACCAAGAGGTCACCAGTTCGATTCCGGTCAGGGCACATGCTCAGGTTGTGGGCCAAATCCCCAGTGTGGTGTATGCCCGAGACAGCTAATCGATGTTCTTTTTCATTGATGTTTCTCTCTCTCTTCCTCCCCCTAAAAATATCCAATAAAGAAAAATAAATAAATAAAAACATAAATAGCAACAGAAACTACAACAGCAGTAAGGTATATTAAGAATAAACCCTATAGCCCAGCCAGTGTGTCTCAGTGGTTGAGCATCAACCCATGCACCAAGAGGTCTCCAATTCAATTCCCAGTCAGGACACATGCCCAGGTTGTGGGCCCAATCCCCAGTGGGGGCATGCAGGAGGCGGCCAGTCGATGTTCTCTCTCATCGATGTTTCTATCTCTCCTTTTCCCTTCTTCTCTCTAAAAGCAATAAAGAAAAAATTTTTTAAATTAAAAATAAAAAAAATAAACCCTCTTGCCCAGCCAGTGTAGCTCAGTGGATTGAACATCGTCTCAGGGACTGAGAGGTCCCGGTTCGATTCCCAGTCAGGATACGTGCCCAGGTTTTGAGCTCCATCCTCAGTAGGGGCCATGCAGGAGGCAGCCAATCAGTGTATCTCTCTCACATTGATGTTTCTCTCTCTCAAAAAATCAGTGAAAAAGAAAACATTTTTAAAAAAAAGAATAAACTCTACAAAAGATATTCAAGATTTAAAAATTTTATTGAAAGATATTATAGAAGATCTAAAATGTGGAGGTATACCATATTGTGGATAGGAAAACTCAATATCCTAAAGATGTCAATTCACCAAATTAATCTGTGTAATTAATACTATCCCAGAGCGACAATGACACAAGATGATACCAACCATGGACTTGGATAAGTTATGAAAACTGAATATACAGCCTTAAAATAGAATGTGGACCTAAAAGCATCCTCTTTTATAAGATTTGTACCAAAAATTGATATGAATGACATAGTTCTAATGAAGTGGTGGACCCGAGAGCCATATCAGTGCCAGCAAAATGGCAGAATTTACATAGGATCAAAGTTGTCCTGCAGGGGCTTCAGCTTCTAATGATGTCTAAAGAAAATAGGAAACTTCCTCAGCTGCCTGAAGGACATTGTTACAGCAATTAATCAAAAACAAAACCACAGGCCCTCTCCCTCCCACCATTTCCCTTACGCAGTCTTTATTTTCCACAGTAGTAAATTTTCTAGAGAAAGCTTAACGACCTCAAAGTATGGGAGAGGAAGCTCTCATCCAAAGGCAGTTTATCTTAAGATACTGTAAATTGTACTAATTTTTGTTCATTTGTAACAACAACAAAAATTCTATCCCAGTCAAATCTCAACAAGTTTGTTCATGTAGCTTAATAAGTTGAGTCTGAAGTACATATAACCAAAGAGTAAAGAACCAAAACAGTCAAGACACTCATGAAGAAGACAACCATGCTGGCGGGGCACTTGGTCTATGCAAATTCATTATAAGACTCTTAAGACAGAGTGAAAAGGACATAGGTAGGCCAGTGGGACAGAATAGTGTCCATAAACACTCATGCATTTGTGAGACAGACACTATAGCATAGGGTTTAAGAGCATGGAAACAATCAATGGAAGAAGACTCTTTGGTCAGATGTATTTTAAGACTCCCAAGATTCGAATCCCAGGCCCTCCATGAATTCACTGTTTTGATCTTGGTCAAGTTACTTAGGTTTTCTCTCTCTCAGTCTGTAAAATGAGGCAATAATACCAACCTCAAAGACTTAAGGTTTCAAATGACTTAAATTTTAGAAAGTACTGGCATGTGATAGATGTTATGTAAGTTGCCAGAGTGGTAATACAATGTAGTAGGGAAAGAATGAACTAGTCAATGCATGATACTGGGATCATTTGGTTATTGTTAAGGAAAAACGGTTGAATCTCTATCTTACATTTGAAATAAGAATCAATTCCGATAGATTAAACATCTGCCTATGGAAACCAAAATCTAAAGTGTTGAAAAAATATAGCAAAATGTCCTTGACTTCTTGGTAAGGAATTGGGGGTAGGGGAGGCTAAGATAGCGCACCTAATAAAAACTCAAAAGGAAAAGTTGATAAATTTGACTATATTAAACTTTAAAACTTTCTTGCATCATAATACTGTGAAAAAGTAAAAAACTAGACCTCAGACTGAAAGTTTTTTTCAATACACATAACAGCAAAGGTTTGGTATCTGAAATAATACTCTTTTGCAATGACCTTCTGTGATGCAATAGCTCATTGCAGTTGGTAAATGGAGCATGGTGACAATGTAATGAATGCCACATGATCTTTCTGGTTCATACACAATATTTCTCTGTACATTAATGTTTTTTTTCATCAGATGAAAACATATATGGAAGAAAGCAATGGAAGAAGACTATAAGCATACCCATTCACTGAACATTCTTACACCCATTTCCATTAGGCCATGGGCTTTATTTTGGAACTGCTTGCTTCATGGTTCTCAAATTTTATGCCTTGGCTTTTGTCTTCATAACCCAATAGTATCAATCCTTCCTTAATCCTCTTTATGTCAACCTATCTTCACCCTTTAAAAAGAAAATTTTACACAGGGTGTCTGTAGATTCTATTACATTTTGAAAATGAAATGTACTTTAATAAACACTGGGTTTATAATTACACTGTTCTGTGTATATACTTTTTTGGCACACCCTATTGTGTATGTGGTATTTTTTTTATTTGGAGCACACATCTTTGTTCTAGTTACAAAGTTGCATTGTTTCAGTGGTTAGCCTTTACCATAGTTTTTTCCCATAAGTCCTGTTTTGCGTGATTGTGTACAAAGCAAATATCAAAAATGTGTATATTATAGCTGAAATACTTGGATAATAACTTCCTACAGATCTTTTTATTTATTTATTTTTTAGAGAGAGAGAAGAAGGGAGAGAGAGAAAAACATCAGTGTGAGAGAGAAACATCGATCCTGCATGCCCCTAAATGGGGATCAATCCCCGCAACCTGGGCATGGACCTCTCAGTCCATGGGATGATGTTCAGTCCACTGAGCCACACCGGCCAGGCTACAGATCTATCTATTAAAAAAGACAAATCAGAATAGAATGGCAAACATTGTTAACAGTCAGTTCAGAAAAAAGGAACCCCAAATGGCCAGGAAACATACAAATATAAGTTGATATACTTGGCAGATAGCTCTAGAATAGCTGTATTCTGTACATACCCTATCCTGTAACTCAGTAATTCCACTCCTAGGTATATGCCCTGGGGGGGAATTCTTGATTTTGTGCTCTTGGGCAGTGCTGATATTAATAAATATTAATTTTTCCCTTCCACATATTAGCCAAGCCGTCTTCCTTTATGGCATGTGCAAACTTGACATGTTGTGTCAATAGTGAGAATGTTAAATGTGCAGATCCAGGGTGAGATAAGGAGCTTAAGCCAGAACGTAAATTAATACAATTTTGGCTTTGTTGAGAAAGTCCTACAATGATTTTTTTTTTAAAGTTAATTAAAACCATGTGTTTAGTGGCAAAATTAATGTGTATTCTGGCTCAAGCCCCTTGTCTCATTGAGAACTAGTAACGTACAGCTCTGTGGACTAGCACTGTGTCTGTGAACCACACTTTGGGCAACACCTCACCAAGAGACATTTATAAGAATGTTCATAGCATCATTGAAAGTGTCCATCAGTTAAAAAAATGGATACATAAATTGCAATATGCTTATGTAGTGGAGTACTTTTACACAATGAAAATGTAAAAACTAGGGTCTTATTAGCAATTGCAAATCTCAAATTCATTTTAAAAAGCAGTTAGAAGAAACATACTTTATGGTAGCATTTATATAAAATTAAAAACATGGGAACAACACTCTGTGTTGTTTTGAATGTGCACATACACAGTTACAGTGTAAGAAAATGCCTAAGAATGAAAAGCACCAAATTCAGGATAGTGATTTCCTGTTGATGTTAGGAGAAGCAAATACAATATTTAAATAGTGTGAGTAGCAATTGATGTAAGAACCTAGGGCTTCAAGTGATTACTTTCTCAAGATGAGGCATAATTACATGGCTATAAAATAAGAAGTACCCATTTTAGATCATGTAGGTACTGTTCAGATGTACTGTGAACTGTTAATACATCTGGAGTGTTTTGTTCAGTTCTCAGGACTTTGTTTTAAGAGGTATTCTGGTAGACCAGGGGACCTCTAGAATCAGGGGAGTAGGATAGAGAGCAGGCTGAAAGAGTGTCATAGCTGCATTGGGCTTGTTTATTTTGACAACAAAAGTCTTAGTAGCAACAGAAATTGTTTTAAATAATTCAAAGAATATCATGTGGCTGAGATACTTTACTTTTTTTCCTTTTAATTTTGTCCATCATTTTTACCTACTATACCGTCATTCTCTTAGGACGTGAGAATGATAAATATTAATTTTTCCCTTCCACATATTAACCAAGCCCTCTTGCTTTAAGGCATGTGCAAACTTGACATGTGTCAACAGTGAGAATGTTAAACAGTTTAAATTCTGCTTGGGTAACTTCCTAGCTATTGGGCAAGTTACTTAACCTTTTCAAGGCCTTGAGTTTATCATTTGCCACAGTGAAATAGAGCTTTCTGTGTGATGGATATGTTATGTTTCTGTACGGCCTGGTTAGAGTAGCCACTAGCCATGTGGCTGATGAGCATTTGAAACGTGGCTAGTGTGACTGAGAAATTGCGTTGTTGTTTTTTTTCATTTAATCTTAATGAATTTAAGTTTAAACAGCCACGTGTGGTACGCGGCTACTGCACTGAACAGTACAGATCTACAGGAGGATAATTATGTGCACCCTAATATTTAACTTCCAACAAAATCATAAAATATTTCATAAATACAAGTGGATGATGATATACTTGTTTATGTATGTATGTGTATTGCAGGATGGAATAGAATTAAAATAAGTTTAATATTCACATATGAATATGATCTTTTAAAATGTGATGCAGTATTGTCAATAATTAAAAATTAAAAGCAGTTTTTTATTACATATATAGGTGATCTGAACAAGTTGATATTTGCATAAATGAATAACTATTTTTTTTTTTTTAATCCTCACCCGAGGACATTTTTCCATTCTTTGTACAGATAGAGTGGGAGGGAGAGAGAGGAAGAGAGAGAGAAACATCGACGTGAAAGGGACACATCAAGTTGCTGCCACCCGCATGACCAACCAGGGCCGGGGACAAACTGCAACCGAATAACTATTTTGAAGAGAGGCACAGCTTTCAGATTTGTCATTTAATTTTGAATATTGGTAAAGTGGTAGTTCTTTAGATTCATTTTTAATAATGATTGTTGCTTAAACTTTAAAGTATTATATAGCATAATTTTATAAAAATTATTTTCTTACCTGTCTAGAATAAGCAAAATGTAATAATTACATCTTTATCTTTTACTTATATGTATATGCCAAATATAATCATTTAAAATATTTAATTTTTCTTTTGAAAAAATAAAATCAAGAAGCAAACATTTTTATTATAGCTGTCATGCTGTTAGTAATTAAACATAAGTGTTTCACTTTTTCTGGTTTTACTCTTTTCTAGCTGCATAGATGAATGGTTTGAAGTAAATAGATCTTGCCCTGAACACCCTTCAGATTAAGCATCAGCTTCCTGTTTTATAGGTAATTCTTCCCTTTTCTATTTTAATTGCTTTTTAAAGTGTTATCTGAATTACGAATTCTTAGCCACTTTCTTTGTTCATCTATAAGAAGCAACTCTTCATTTGTTAAAGATTTGTCATGAAATTGCAGCAAGTCAGTCACAACTTCAGGCTCCACTTCTAATTCCAGTTCTGCTGTTTCCACCACATCTGCACTCACTTCTGCCACTGGGGTCTTAAACCCCTCAGAGTCATCTGTGAGGATTGGACTCAACTTCTTAACTCCTGTTAATGTTGATATTTTGCCTTCTTCCCATGAATCGCTAATATTTTTAATGACATCTATAATGGTGAATCCCTTCCAGAAGGTTTTCAGAGGAATGACTGTCTATGGCAGATACAGCCTTGGCGAATATATTTCTTGAATAAGACTTGAACTTCAGAATTACTTCTTGATTCTGACTTAGGCTGCGGAAGGGACATTATGTTAGCAGGCATGAAAACAGCATTAATCTCATTGTACATCTCCATCAGATGTCTTGGGTGACCAGGTACATTGTCAATGAGCAGTAATATGAAAGGAATCTTTTTTATCTTAGCAGTAGGTCTTCATAGTGGGTTTTAAATATTCAGTAACCATGTTATAAACAGATGTACTATCGTCCAGGCTCTGTTATTCTATTTATAGAGCACAGGCAGAATAGATTTAGCATAATTCTTGGCCTTGGGATTTTCAGATGGTAAATGAGCATTGGCTTCAACTTAAAGTCATAACTGCACCAGCCCCTAACAAGAGGGTCAGTCTGTCCTTTGAAGCTTCAAAGCCAGGCATTGACTTTTTCTCTCTAGCTGTGAAAGTCCTAGATGACATCTACAAGGCTGTTTCTTCTGCACTGAAAGTCTGTTGTTGAGTGGCCACCTTCGTCAGTTATCTGGGCTGGATCTTCTAGGTTATTTGCTGCGGCTTCTACATCAGTACTTGCTGCTTCACCTGCACTTTGATGTTAGGGAGATGGCTTCTTTCCTTAAACCTCCTGAACCAACCTTGGCTAGCTTCAAACTTTTCTTTCTTTCTTTGTTCTTTTTTATTAATCCTCACCCGCAGATATTTTTTCATTGCTTTTTAGAGAGAGTGTAAGGGAGGGAGGGAGAGAAAGAGAGAGAAACATTGATGTGAAAGAGATACATTGATTGGTTGCCTCCTGCACAACCCCAACCCAGGCCAGAGATCGAACCTGCAACCCAGGTAGTGCCCTTGACCAAGAATCAAAACTGCAACCCTTCCGTCCTCAGTCCAATGCTCTAACCGTTGAGCCAAACTGGCCAGGGCCTCAAACTTTTCTTCTGCAGCTTCCTCACCTCCCGCAGCCTCCACAGAATTAAAGGGAGTTAGGGCCTTGCTCTGGATTAGGTTTTGGCTTGGTGGAATGTGGCTGGTTTGATCTTCTCTCCAGACCAAAAGAACTTTGCTCATATCAGCAATAAGGCAGTTTCACTTTCTTATTCATGCTTTCACCGGATTAGCACTTTTAATTTTCTTCAAGAACTTGTCCTTTGCATTCACAACTTGACTAACTGGTGCAAGAGCCTACCTTTTGTCCTCTCTCAGTTTTCAACATGCCTTTCTCACTAAGCTTACTCATTTCTAGCTTTTGATTTAAAGTGAGAGATGTGTGACTCTTCCTTTCACTTGAACACTTGGAGGCCATTGTAGGGTTATTAATTAGTCACATTTCAATATTGTGTCTCAGGGAATAGGGAGGCCCGAGGAGAGGGAGAGAGACTGGGAAACAGGCAGTCCCTGGAGCAGTCAGAACACACACAACATCTATTGATTAACATTGTCTCATCTGGGCAAGGTTTGTAAGCTCCGAAACAATTACAATAGTAACATCAAAGATCGCTTATCTCAGATCACCATGACACATGTAATAACAACACCAGAGTTTCAAATATTGATATAGTCTTTATTGTAGAAGGGGGATAACTGTTATGTATTGGTGATTTTTGTGTGTGTGATATTTTAAGCTTTAATTGGTCCTCCTGTGTCCTTGATCTGTTCTTTTGCAGAACACTATAATTTTATGATTTTCTTAGAATACTAAGTAAGTGTGTGAAAATTTACCGTGACTCAAACAATGCTCATAGGGAAATGAATGTTGCGTTTTGATTTGTATTACTATTGTGGATCTCTGCTTAAACCAAAATGTGTCTACTTTTACACAGGTTTTCTTCTAAAGATGCTTGAAAAACCAAGAGGATATGAGGATCTGTCTCTGGAAAAACAAAAACAAAAAAACGCAGGCATACTCAGCCAAGTATCTGAGTTCTGTGCGACTCAGTCTGCAGAGATGGACAATCGTATAGGGAAAGAATCCTGCTGAAGGGAGGACATTTGCCACAGAACTTAGTGTACCAAACATGACATAAGGACTCACAGGGATTTTGAAAATGCTGCACATCCCTTAATAGTCATCTACATAGGTAATGCTGATAAACATTTTGTATTCAGACGCCAAAGTTAACTGATTTAAAAGTTAATTTACTTTTATTAAGTTCTCTAGAGTTGCGCATCTAGTATTTTGATTTGTTGTGTTTTTTAGTTTTTTTTGGGGGGGGGGGTGTCTTTATTTTTCCCAACATGATATTTCTTTATTCATCTATTTTTAAATTGAAGACCACATAATTTTCTTCCTATAAAGTCTTAAATGTGGAACCAAGAAATGTAATCAAGCAGTGAAACATTCTCTGAATGTAGACCATGATCTCAAGTTCTTCTGTTATTTTTCCCCCAAGAATGGAAAATAGACTTCTACATAGGAAAGCTAAAATACGTTAACATTTTAAATTAAAAGTTTAATACTATCAGAATGCTGTCCAAAGAGTAAATCAGGTTACGTAATTACATTTTAATTAATTAAATCTTGGATTGTCTACTGAATTGCAATCTCTTAAGTATATTGTTTCCTCTTAAATAAAACTACTCAACAGCTAATCAGCAACGAATCATCTTGCAGCTATGCAACTTAAAAAATATATATATACAAATTACCAACTTTAAGTGCTACCAGCTACAGTAACTTTGTTTTAACGGGTATTTTTGTTTGTTCTTTTCATGTAATTATTTTATTGTGCTTTGCATCTCCAGGCAGTTTTCCTACATTTGGGTAAAATGCTTTAGCAGGTTGTAAGCTTAATAACTTATGAAAAGAGTAAAATAAAATTTTCTTGAGTGGAACTTGGAATAATTTGAGGGACTTTTATATACTTTTAAAAATCAGAATTCAATTAGAATGCCAGATTTATAGCAATTTGCATCTTTAATTTTTCCAGATAATCTGGAGGTTAGTGTTTGATACATGATTTTTTAAAGCAAATATAAGATTTTGTTAATTTATAATTTATTAATGTGTTATTGTAATTGAAAATGTTATAGAACTTTTAAATTCAGTCTTGTGTAGAAAGAAATGTATTAAGCAAAATTATGTGAATAAATATTCCCACAAAATACATCTGAATGGTTAAAAAATACTGGAAGAGAGCTATTAGGGCTACAATACTGAATGTCTTTTTTTTTTTTTTTTTAATATCAAAAATACCAATAAGTAGATTCCTGTTTCCAACATGGGGAAAATGTTATCACTGAGTGTTTAAGCAATGCACTTTTACTTGGTATAATCGAAAGTCTCACAGTACTGTTTCCTTGTTTTAAGCCTTTAGTGTATTTACATATTTGCTTTTCTATTTAATGCTGCTACCTTTATTCTCCTCAAATTTTTTTTCTCTATTGCTTTTTGATTTTTATTTTTTTAAGGACATGTACAGGAGCCAACTGCTGCTACCCAGAAAAATTTGTGTATTATAAAAAATTAAAAGAGTTTTTATTTGCTTTCTGTGTGATTCTAGACCAGATAACATTTTCTCTAAAGTTATGCTGTGAAATGCCTTTGGTTATGCTGCATTTGATAAACAAATCCCAAACCTCCAGTGCAACAGCCGACAGCACAGTTTCATAGGTGCTTTTTAAACCAGTTTTGGAAAATATTTTTCCCTCAAGGGAAATATTCTTTTCTTAGATTTTTTTTTTTCTGTTATCATGAAATCTTAATATGAATCCATTTTATTTCACATTTTCAATTTTGGAAGCTTTCACACATACACACACCCCCACCCTCACTACAGGAAAAACCTCTTAGAATGTGAATAATTCGTTTTTTTCTACTACTGGTATAATGTTATTTTGTTGTCTTCCATTCTTAAAAGAAAAGATCTACAGCTGTGGTAGCTCACTGTTAATGTTCTTCTGGAAGTTGATTTTTGGATACGATTTACTCATCGACTTTCAGAATGTATCGGCTTAGGGTCACTTCTCGTCTTGATCCTGGACCATTTCTCAGTCTTGCTCTGTCAAGGTCTGTGTTGCAGCTGCTGCAGGAGCAGCCCTGTGCTCTAACAGAAAGCTCAGTGTGTCACCGCCAAGCGTGACTTGATCATTATGTTTGTCTAGAAAAGTATTTACTTAATTTGTTTATAGCAATCCCTTTTTCATTAAAATTTACAAAAGTTAACATTTTTTCTACCTTAAATTCAGTTTCCATCAATGACTTCCTAAAAAGAACTGAGAAATTGACAAGAAAATGTTTTTAAAGCCCAAATGCTCCCGTTTTTATTCAAAGTCGCTATTCTGGAAAATATAAGTAATATTCTACATAATGTCACTTACAATATTTGTAAACCTTACGCGGACACTGAGTAGTGTAAGTAGGACATAAAATCACATTAGATGTTTAAATGTGTAGCTGAAAGTACTGGCAGCTGAATGTTATGGAGACAAAATAACAGGTCATCAAATTGGTTATAACTTTCTAGAATCTTTGTAAATACTTATTTTCAAATAAGATCACACTTGTGAATATAGAAAGCAGTATGTTCTGAAATTTCACTTTACTGCCACTCTTTACTTCAATGAATTTATTGCCGATTTTGATTCTTTGTCTAACTTAGATCTGGCTCCTCACCCCCCACCCCAGAGTGTATAAGAGATAGCAAAATTATTGTCTTTCTTTGGGCTCTTTGCCAGAGAAATAGGCTAAGTAAGCATATTGATCTGGTTTTCAGATTTGGTTACAAATCAGATAGAGATTGTGTTTTAAGAGCAATGTTTATAATTGAAATATAAATAATGGTTTCTATAACTGATTTTTTTTTGTAGTAGCTGAAACAACGTTTAAAAACTCATGCTGTTAACTGTTGCATACCATATAGATTTTACATTTCTTTTATATGTCATACAATTATTTCAGTTTTCACCCCACTAAACATTAGGAGAATGTAGCCCAGAAATGCCCGAGGGGCACCCTCAGCATATTTGCAGTATGTATTTTCAAAAGATTTCAGTTTAAATGAGTTAATGAAAATGGCAGATTCCATTTCAAAGCTTATTTTACTTTCTAAAGTTGGGATTAGTGTCATGTAAGAGCAATCATTTAAATTAACTTAATTATAGCAAGACATAGGAGTCTTCTTCAAATGAAAAAGATTGTAAATTAAATGTAAATATTACCTATTTTTTTTTTTTTTTACTAACTTGGAGAGTGGGAGAAGGGAGATGTTCTAACAATAAGCTACATTTGAGCAAAGCATGTGACTCTCTTTTAAAACTCAAGAACAATGAAATTTACCATCTGATTGACATCCACATTATGCATTGATAATAATACTGAAGTCATCTTACTCTTTTGCAGAGGAAGTTTCCATATAAATTTGGTTATTGGAAACTTTGTAAAACTACATAAAGGTAAATGTTGCTGATTAAATATGAATACTATTTGTTAGTTGCAGGAACTCTTCTAGTTCATTTGGACCATTTTCTTGCAATTTGATTTATCCTGAGGTGAGCTCAGTACATATTGACAATAGGTGGTTAAATGTGAAGTGTCCCTTGTTCTTGTACAGATATTTTAATTCTGGCATGAATTATTTTGTCTTTGGCTTGTTCCCCTTTATTTCTGAGGTATATAACTTCTGATGTTTTCTTGGTTGTTTTGTGAATAACAGTAGTTCAGTTATCTGTCTTACTGTCTGCTTTTCCTCTCTACTGGTATCTTTCCATTCTGAAACTAAATTGACACTTGGTTTTCTTTAGGGAAAGTGGCTACTTGGTATACTCCTAGTAGTGATTTTTATTTAAAAACAACTGGTGAAACTTCTTGGTAATAATTTACCCAGGTAATACTTTGAGTACCTACCGTATTCTGTGAATGCTGTGCTTAAGGTAGGGAACTGAAAGGTTTTTTTAATCACAGAATTCCTGTCTTGATTGGGAAACACCTGATAACTTTTAAGTCTGGTGATTCTCTGTGGAAGGTAAAAGGCATCAAAGAAAACCAGATATGTTAATATTTATGAAAATGCAGCATTACTATACTTATGGGAGTTGGTATATTTTCAGATATCAGTTTCAGGCCATTGGCTAGTAATAAGGTAGACTGTTGGTTGCTTATTTTATAGAGAGGCAAAAAACAGCATGGCATAAACTCACATCCCAGAAATAAATGAAATTTTAAAAAAAGGTATTGTACTGTCTATTAACCAACATTGCACTTCTTAGCTCTGCCCTGGGCTGTGGGTACCTGTCAGGACCCCAAGTCTTAGGATCAGAGTGACTGATTTCTTCAATTGCTAGATTCTCTTGCCTGCTTTTTTGATTGGATATGCTGAGATTGATAGGTACTGATGCTTTGTGTTTGTAAACTTACATTTCTGCTGGTCCCCTGTTACCAGTGAACCTTCATCTTGAAAAAGTTTCATTATTAGTCAATAGCATTTTGAGCACCTGTGTGCATATGATACAGTTAGCAGGCTTTATAGAGAGATACAAGAGATTTAGGAATTTTATGATGATATTGACCTTTATTATTAGAGCAATCCATTACATTTTATTTCTTTGCAATGACAATATGAGTTTTATTGTTTGAAAATCAAGATAATAATAATAGATATTTACCTCTGTTGTTTTGTTCGTGATTTCCACAACTCTTTGGTAATACCTCTTGATTTCCTCCATTAGAGAGAATTTTTCTGTTAAATAAGGTATCAGAAGCATCAATCACAAGAAATACAGAAAATGTACTAGGGCCCTGGCCAGTCTTGCTCAGCAGTTAGAGCGTCGGCCTGCGGACCAGAGAGTCCCAGGTTTGATTCCCACTAAGGGCTCGTACCTCAGTTGCAGTTTGTCCCTGGCCCCGGTTGGGGTTGTGTGAGTGGCAGCCACTTGATGTGTCTC